GCCCCGCGGGCTGCAGCGCTGTAGTAGTACGGGGAGCCTGCAAGAGAAGGGACGGGCGTGAGGAAGAGGAAGGTGGAGAGGTGCCAGCTTGCAGCCTGCCAACATGGGCAGAGAGAGCTCAGACTCACCGCCCTGAGGGCCGTGTAATTAGAATAAAAACCACATTCACACATTCTGCACAAGAACGGCGTGATCGTCGCTTGGCGTTTCTGCTGGCTGTAGGGTACCTGGCTCCCTTCCTCCGCTCAAAACATTAGTTTCATTTACTTTGCCGAAAAGTTAATTACTTTTCAGAATGGAAGGTCAAAAACGTTCCAGCCCCAACACGTTACCACGCTCTGACTTCTCTGATTTATTTTCCCCTTCCTTTTGGGAGGAGGAGGTTGAACCCCAACGCATTCAACATATTTCACTCAATTTAGCAACAGTTCCCCTGTTTCTAAAACTAATTCTGTCAGGGAGTAAGTTCCCGGATTTTGCTTAGCTCTGGCAGTGACCTTGGAGCTCCAGAAGGAAACACCAAGTCGGTGCTACCAGATGCGCTTTGGAATCACGACACTGCACTGGCTCCTGCCTGGCCAGGAAAAGTCCTTCGGCATCCAATAAATCTGTTGAACAGAGGCATTGTCTTCAGAAAATATCAGCGACTTTCACTTGGTAACAAATTTGAACTGAGAAAGTAGTTTACAACTACCTCCAGCAAATAACTCCTCATCCAACAAAGTATCTGATACTCCATATCACAGCTTTTGAAAGGAACACTTAAGCCTCAAACTGATCAAATTTATGCTCTATTCTTTGATGGAGTACATGTTACACACCTGAATGAACCATACAGGTGAGGCTTAAAGCTTTGCAGACTGATGAATGTCGAGGCACTTGTCCACCAAGACAAGGCATGAAAAATATCAGCAATGATGTTTCTGCCTCACAGGGGTAAGTGCTGGTAGACTGGGTGGTCACCAAAGGATCACCTGGAACCTAGACCGTTTGCTTGGATGAGGAATAGTCTTCGCCTTCAGACATATCTGGAGAGGTACCAATCTCTCCAGACAGCACCAGCTATTCAATACCTTCCAAGTGCACCGGAGAGGGAACCAATTCTGATCTGGTGTATGAAAAGAGTTGGGCAAAACATTTTTCAAGGCACTACCAGTTCAGTCTCCAAGTCACCACCATTTCACATGCTTGAGATGCAAGACATGCTGCAGTGTGGAAGAAGCCCCTTGCAAGGACTTGCACTCAGACACACATGTCTGCGTCCCCAATGCAGGTCTGGATGAGCAACAAAGAGCCAATGTGAGGAACAGCTCTGGAGCAGGCTGGGCTGTAGGGTCTAGTCTCATGAGTGACCCCATCCAAGAGCTACCAGCAACCCCAAATTCCCTGTGTTTACACCACTTGGGACAGCAGCCTGGCAGACATGGTCGAGAATCTTCACGACCAGGGATGTGACTTGTCACAGACGGGTTAACTTTTACAGCTTCAGCGAGGCAGAGGAGTGGGCTCCTCCAGGAGAAGGTGGTGCCACCAGACCTCCGTGGGGCCTGTGGACCCCTCAGCAAAACATTGGTGGCAGTGAAGCCAAAGGTGCATTTTCAGCTGTTCGCTCCCCACCCCAACCCTGCTCCAGCAGGTCCGATGGCTGCCTGGCACCTGGGCGCGAGCTGAGCTTGGCATTGCCCTGGCTGTTCCACCACCACGGCCTCGGCACACCCTCTGAAGAGGGAAGGAGAACGCAGACGGCATGCCCTGTGCCACTGGTCGCCTGCTCTCTGCCGAGCCAAGGAGCCTCCGCCTGGCAGGCTGGAGAAGCTCGTGGCCTCCCCTCCTCTTGCACAGCCTCCAGATGAAGGCTTTGCTGTTCACCCCAAAACTAACTGAATGATTACTTGAGGGCTGCTGGTTCAAAAGCCCAAGTGCAGAGCGAGAGTCGCCTTGCCAGCCTCTCAGAGGAAGCCCACAGACATTTACTGTTAACCGTCAGCTCAAGAGGGTGGTAAAATTGCAACAGGCAGGGCCTTCCCCACCTTCTCCCCAAACTGGCCTCGGTGCGCTGCCTGGAGGGGTTTCTACAGCTGGTGAAATAAGCCATGCTGCCCTAGAGGACAGCCCAAGGAGACAGACCCACTAACTGAAACACCTCCTGAAAGGATGGGCTTTTCTGCCCTACCTCGCTTTTCTGGATCCACCAGGACCATCTCACAGGCAAGCCCTCCTGTTTCTTCTAGGCTACTTTCGTCCTGAACACCACTGCAGGAAATCCGCTCAGGCCTCACCGCCAGCCTCCTGCTGCTCATTTCCAAAGGAGCACAAGCCAACACATCCGAAAAACAGAGCTCAGCCAACATCTGCTATTGCACAGTATGTGCAATGCGCTCCTCAGCACAGCCGCAAAGAAACTTCTTTCTTGCGATCGAAGTCCTACCACAGCATGTGATACTCTGCTGCCACAACCCCGATGGGTCAGAAATGACAGGGTTTGGCTACAGGACTGTGGCTTCTCCATCACTCAGTGCTGCAGCAGAACAGGAGCTTGTACATGGTGCAGCCTGTGTTGTCCTCAGCACCATCCTCAGAGCCCCAAAATTCCCACCTTAAATACCGTGCAAACCCTCTGCAAAGGGCTGGGTTTAAAGAAGGTAGACAAAGCTTAGGACTGTGGTCCCAGTTGCCTAGAAGGATAGTCTTACTGTACACAAGAGTAATTCAGGACAGTCCATGAAATCACTGGCCAGGTTAAGCTTTTGCAAAGATGTTTGCAGAACTTTTAGGTGGAATTCCATCTCGCCTAGGTGTAGTAACCAAAAGGTAAGTATTTTAAGCCATAATCAATGGAGGCAAAGCAGATCCCTTCACAGGGTTATCACACCGTTTACACGTGCGGAAGTGCAGAGCTGACAGCCCTGCATTGTCTGCTGAGGGTACCTCAACTCCTATCCTGGGCTGGGTGGACACTCCTCTTCCAGATAAATGACATCAGGTCAACAAGCCTCAGCCTCAGGAGACGTATTTCATGGAGAAGAATACTGGAAAGCTGCACAAGAACAGTGAACACTGTTCTCATGGGTAGCCGAAAATAAACTGCTGTAAATTGTGTATCTCAGCCAAACTCACGCAGTTGAAAACATGGAAGCCTTCCTTGGCCAAATAAGGTAGTCTTGAATGAGCAAAGGCAAACTGAACAGCTCACCAGACTTTGAAATGTCCATGCTCTGTCTAGCCGGGGTTTTGGGGATGTCCTCTGTAGCCAGTGAACGGTGGGCCACACTCTCGGGGGTGCCCAGTCTGTCACTCCGTGTCCCCTCACGGCCACTCCTGCTGCCCAGGAGTCCTCGGGGATCATCTCCTGCTGTGGGGCAGGCAGCACCTCAGGGCAAAACACCTCACAGGGCCCCGAAGAGCCGGGTGGAACAGCTGTCCTCACCCACAGCAGCACCAGGAGGTCGATGGGGAGCAGTGGGTGGTGGTGACCAGCTCCCAGGCATGACCACCAGCGGAGACCCCGGGTCCCCGCTGGCACCAGCACCGGCACCGGCCATGGCAGCTCAGCTCAGGCAGAAGGATGGCAAAGGCAGGGAAGGGATCCAGCGGCACCAAAAACTTTCAGCCTGACCCACGGAGTGATGCGTGGGTCCCACCAGAGCAGGATGCAGCGCTTCCCAAGGTTTTGGGGTAAAAGGGGTCTTTTGGGGGTAAAGGGGGTCTTTTGGGGGTCAGGGCCTTCGCTTTCCCCCTCCCTCCTCCTCCACCGCTGTTCTGACTCAGTGCGGCTACCAAAGCCAGTATTTCTCTCACGCTTTCCAAAGGCCTTACACTTTTCCTGTTTGATTTTTCCAGTTTGCCATTCAGCACTGAAATCAAAAAAGCTTGCATTTAAGGTGAAAAATGAAAACATCACATCACAAAGCATTCACTCTTCCTCCCTGTCACCATGCCCCCATCCAGAACAGACTTGTCCGTCCTTCTGTCGTTTTTCCTTTCTAATTCATACTGCCATCAATTTATTTCTTGACACAGTCATTTCTGGCATCTACTTGTTCTCTAATCTTTTCACAGAAGCCCACGGAAGAACTGAATGTAATCCTAATTGACGGGCTCCAAGCCCTGCCCTCGCACAATGCCGGCACCGGCAGCCACGGCACCGCGACGGCACAGGGACCATGTCCGGGCGGGAGCAGGGACGTCACATCAAACAGAAGCCAGCTGCAAGCAGCGTCAAGCCGAACACAACGAGCAAAAATGGCAAAGAAGTTATTGCAACAAACCAGTATGAAATTGAATCGTTCTTCTTCATTA